TATTTTTCATTATTATTTTTTAAAGATTTTATGAATTTATTAGACAGAGAGAGATATCACAAGTAGGCGAAGAAGCAGGCAGAGAGAGAGAGGAATAAGCAGGCTCCCTGCTGAGCAGAGAGCCTGATGCGGGACTCAATCCCGAGAACCTGGGATAATGAACTGAGCCAAAGGCAGAGGTTTTAACCCACTGAGCCACCCACATGCCTCAGAACACTGTTATTTTATTCTAATTTTATTTCTTTTCTTAAAGCTTTTTGTCTTGGGGCACCTGGGTGGCTCAGTGGGTTAAAGCCTCTCCCTTCGGCTCAGGTGATGATCCCAGGGTCCTGGGATCAAATCCTGCATCAGGCACCCTGCTCAGTGGGGAGCCTGCTTCTCCCTCTACCCCTCCCCCCATGCTCATGATCTCTCTATCTCTCTCACTCTCTCTCTCACATAAATAAATAAATAAAAATCTTTAAAAAAAATAAAGCTTTTTATCTTGACAACAAAAACTTTAAACTTGGAGGGAAGAGTAAAATAAACTGGAAATACCCTTTACCCAAGATTCGCCAAGTGTTGGTGTTTTGACATATTTGTGCCAGCCCTCAACAGATGGATCCATACGTATTTCTCTATCATTGCAAGAGCTAAATTATACCATGGAGACACAGACACACTACAAATATACTATCATGCATTATTACTCTTTATGAATTATGTAACACTTTAAGATGCTGCCTAAGAACTTTAACACCACAATATAATTATCAAGTTATGAAAATCTCAAATGCAGGCACCACCACGACCTAATATACAGACCACATTCACATTCACCTGTTGTCTCAATGATGTACTTGACGGCACCTCCTTCTGGCCCAGCGCCCAACCCAGAGCCACACACTGACCTCTGCTTGTCTCCTTGCCCTCCTTCCATCCATGCCAGCTCCTCGGCCTCTGTCTTCATTCATGCTATTTGCTACTTTAAGCATTAAGTAGAATTGCAAGACAATTCTACTTTTATTCTACAATTTATTCTATAATTCTACAATTAATATTTAAGTAGAATTGCAAGACAATTCTACTGCCAATATTTTCTGTGATGAGGTTTGTATGACCTTAGGTTTTATATATACATATATATATATATTTAAAAGATTTTATTTATTAGTTTGACAGAGATCACAAGTAGGCAGAGAGGTAGACAGAGAGAGGGGGAAGCAGGCTCCCTGCTGAGCAGAGAGCCCGATGCGGGACTCGATCCCAGGACCCTGGGATCATGACCTGAGCCAAAGGCAGAGGCTTTAACCCACTGAGCCACCCAGGCACCCCTGACCTTAGGTTTTATTTTAGAAAATCATTGTTCATATTATGGGAGTAGTAATATTTTCATATTGGGAAAAAAAAACTAGAACATTCTGCATAAAGACTTCACCTACTTCTGAAAACAATTAGCTGTGTGAATTACTGGTTTCCCTTTACATGTCAATGGAAAGCTTCTTAAGGTCTAATTATGTAACAAATTTAATTGTAATGCTTAAATACAAAAACGTTTTGAAAATGCTTTTAATGACCATTTTGTTAAGAATTCCACACTAAGACAAAAGCCTTAATAGAGAAAACAGGTTAAAAGCTATGAACAGGAAATATATAGAGGAGATAACCCACAAGACTATCAAACATGAGATGTTTAATTCTATCAGTAATTAGAGAAATGCAATTAAGAGAATAAGAAAAATAAGAGAAATGCAAATTAAGGCAATAATGAATATTACTTTGTACCTATTGCATTGGCAAAAATTTGAAAACAATGTAACATCCAGTGTCCTTACCATACCTGACTGGACCAAAGACGAGCCCCTGACATTGGGCATTCTAGGTATAGGTAATTTATGAAGTATTCTACTTGGCTCAGAAAGATGAAATAGAAAAATCCTATTTGTTCCTTGAAAATCTGTATTCAGCAACTTTTTTTTTTTTAATGAACAAATTAAAGGGGACAAAGGAAGTCAGAGACTTGAAGTAGAGCAGAGCCAGAGGGTAACAGCAACACTGATGGGCCATAGTGTCCAGAGCTATGAGGAGTAGGGCTTGGGGTAGGTGAAGAAAACAAAGAGCCCAGAAATAACAGGACCCCCTGCAGAGAGTAACGTATAACAATTACTAGAGATGCCATCAGGGATGCCATAGAAGCAAGAAGATTAGCCTGGGTTTCTGCCAACCTCCTACCCTGTGTAGTTTGGGTATTTTCCAGTTCTCTTTTGGGGGGAGTGATTGTTGGGGGGTGTAGTGGGGCAAGAACATAAAACATTTTTAAAAAGAAAACCTTCAAAATCCCAAAGGAAAAAATGACTAAAAAGATTCTTGTACCTAGTTAAATCCTCAATCGGGTATAAGGGTAGAATAAAGACATTTTCAGACAGTGCAAAGAAAACCCATCCTAAAATTCAAAGTGAACTAAGATGTTTCTTGATAACTTTTTAAACATGCCAACATTTAATCAAAACAACTTAAATTCTTCTGAAGTTATAATGTTGACAAGTGTGTGATACCGAAAAGGTGAATTAAAACAGACTTCACACTATGTCGTCATTCCGCACCTGTTCAAACAGCGCTTTAGGTCCTCCTTCAAAATGTTTTAAGACACTAAAATATCTTAAAATTAGGGGCGACTGGGTGGCTCAGTCGTTAAGCATCTGCCTTCTGCTTTGGGCTCCCTGCTCAGTGGGGAGCCTGCATCTCCCTCTCCCTCTGACCGCAGCTCCCCTTGCTTGTGCTCTCTCTGTGTCAAATAAATAAATAAAATCTTTTAAAAAAGTAAAAAATACAACCTCTTAAATTTAAAATTAAAACATGGAAGATAGGGACGCCTGGGTGGCTCAGTAGGTTAAAGCCTCTGCCTTCAGCTCAGGTCATGATCTCAGGCTCCTGGGATCGAGCCCCGCATTGGGCTCTCTGCTAAGAGAGGAGCCTTCTTCCTCCCTCTCTCTCTGCCTGCCTCTCTGCCTACTTGTGATCTCTGTCTGTCAAATAAATAAAATCTAGAAAAACAAAACAAAAACCAAAACATGGAAGACAAATAAGACATGGAAGGACCAAGTTGGCTTCTCGAGGTTTGACAGAGCAGTGTGGGAGTCAGACATGAAAGGAAATGGCTACCAAGTCTACAGGGTGTAACAAGTTTGGCAATAGTAGAGGGAGATCCCAGGTACAGGGGAAGCACAGAGGAGGCCACGGCATACCCTTCCTGGGATTGCCATTGGTGAGGTGGTCTATTCGAGCAAAGCATCATAAGATAAAGTACAAGGCAGATTGGGATGGAGGTAAAAGTTGCTGGGAGGCTGAAATCTGGCTGAGAAGCTTTTAGGTAGCAGGGTATCTGCCGGACAGGGAAGCAAGACATAGGATGTAATTCAAGACAGCTGACATGCGGGGAGTGAAGAACAGATTACGAGGCTGAAGTTGAAGGCAGGGGCAAAAACAGGTGCCACAAACTCCAAATAATGTAAGGGAAGGTCATTTATATGAGAACAAGTGAGCAGGCTTAAAGCAATATGGAGCGGCGAGGACTGTGCCAGGCGGAAAGGCGCATTCACTTTACTTCCGTAGATACGCTGACCCCTGAGCTGGCTCAGTCCTGCCAAATGTGAATCTGGTTGGAGAGGTAAGGGAAGTGGGTCACCAAGTCTGTGTCCACAGGATTCTCAGGGTACTAAAGCTGGCAAATTGTTGCTGAAGGCAAAAGTGCTAGCGTGGGTCAGGAAATGCAGTCTTTATGATATACTAAGTCAGTGACTACTAGCAAATGATGCATCTACGTTTACAAGTCCAAAGTGTTAACACAGCTATTTCAAATAGGTTGTTAGAAACAAAAATGGATGGGATGGTCTCTTGGAAATAGATCGACTAGACTATGACCGATGACAGTGTTAAGGAAAAGGGTGGGCATTTTGCAGAAAGTATAAATGGTTAATGGTATTAACTGTGGGATACTCCCTCATGAGGTGACCTTTCAAGGAAGGGTGAGGTGTGATCTATCTAACAGAGAAAGCAAAACTATTCCTGCTTTGGAGGTAATGTTTAAAGCAAAGGGTTTTTAATTTAGTTTGGATTTTTTAAGTATTTTTATTTTTTTAAGATTAAGTATTTTAGAGAGAGAGCATGAGCAAGAGGGGGAGAGAGAGGGAGAGAGAATGTTAAGCAGACTCCACGCTGAGCTGGGAGGTCGGTGTGGGCCTCGATTACAAAACCCTGAGATCACTACCCAAGCTGAAACCAAGAGTCTGACGCTTAACGGCACCCCCAGACGCCCCTTAGAGTATTTTAAAATTATAAATACACTATAATTAAGTTAATCATTTTCTGCAGTAGGGAACAAGTGGGATTTTTAAAATTCTATCTTAAGTTGTACAATACGTAAAAATACATGAAAGTAACTAGATACATACACTCCATTGGTTACATCTTATAAAATATCCTTATTGGACTTGGTTGTTATCTGGGCCGTCTGTAATGAGTCCTAGGGCTTTGTTTCAGTTAAGCGACTATAAGCTTATCATTTAAAAAACCCAAAGTATAACCGCCCCCCATCTGCCCATCTCCCTTATGCTCATTCCATGACGTGCAGGTAGTAGATCTGTTATGACAGTGGTTCCAGTTAGTGTCTCTACCGCGACCTGCACGTTATTAACCTGGAGAGACCCGAATCCTTTCTCAATTTCACATGCAGCACCGGCTGCTAACGGAAGTTCCTCTCGAAAGTTGAAATCTCAAAGCACTTGTGCTCTTGGTGAAATATTTAGAAAGCTCGCAGGAGCTCCCCTCCTCCCCAAATGATGAGTCTGATGAAAAGAAATTAACAAGCCGTGTGGGGGAGCCGCACATGACCAGCCAGGCCTGCTGTCTAAGTCTGTCTGTTGGTTGTTGCTATGGCTACGGAAAGCCCGTGGAACCCAATGAGCTGTCTGCAGCAGTGCTCAGAGCACCAGCCATCTTACTTATGGGAAACAGTGTGGCATATTCCGCTGAGCTTCCCCCTGGAAGAAGCATTTATTGAAGAATCCATTCAGAGACGAGAGAGGCAAGGGGCATGCTGGCATGCGGTTATTAGAGCCCCGCACGCCTGCGAGCTGCCGTTTGGACGAGCCGTTGACGGCTGCTCTGATTAGCTGATTCGAGAACTTGGAATGCAGAGTGATAATGCTGCCTGTCGGCTCTCAGACAGCAGAAAAGGGTTTTGTCTTGGGAAGGCAAGCCTTCCCTGCAATATCATCGCCGCCGCTGCCTGGCTGCTCGCCCTGAAAAGGAGTGACCCAAGAGGAGGGTGTCACCGTCTGCAAACAGCGGTCCTGTGCCTGGCTGCTGCCTATGAGCCGCGGGGCTGAAGAAGCAGGTGTGTGCTCGGATGGGCACGGGGCTGGGAGGCAGGCGGCCGCTCTCGGGTGTACCTGCTTCCCTTAACAGATTGTTGGCTCCCAGAGCTCTGCCTACCCGCTGAGGCCGAGGCTGAGAAGGTCCCTGTGTAGCCACTGGACGGACAGAGGTAAGCTTTTTTTTTTTTTTTTTTTTTTGCCCTTTTTTAAAAGCACGGTGTAACAATTATTTGGAGCAAAACTTAACCTACAAGATTTATATTAACTGTGTTATCTGGATTTACCAAAGCAGCGTGCATGTACACACACACACATATGCATACATTTCCACAAAATAGTGCCAGAAACATAGAATTGTTTCAGTGATATGTCCTAGAAATTGTGTGACCAAAAAAAAAAAAAAAAAAAAAATTACAATATGCCTTGGAGTTTAAGATATTTAGTGTTTGAACAAACCATGACAGCTTATTGTTCTGGACAGTCTTCAGAACAACAGTCTTTCTACCTCATAAACAATGGGTCCTTTTATTAATTGCACTCGAACATATATTAAGAGAATTACACGGGAATCAGCAGCTTGGAAATTGTGGAGCATTTTTGAAGCCTCATCAAGGATTTATTTCACTCTCCGCACACCAATGCATACATTTAAATTCAGGAATTCCGTAGGTCACCATCGCCACTGGGTTTTGCACTTGCTTATCCTGAACTTCGAGTCTTGGGTGCCCTTTGATTTCATTGAGGGTAGTTGTAAAGCAAACGGTGTCGATACTGAAAGCTGCTCACACGTCCTTTCCTGGTGTCATGCATGCCACGCTAGCCCAGAGCACAACACCCCCATTGTGCTCCCCCGGCTTGGAATCCAAGGAAAGAAAGGAAGCGAAATCTCTGCATTGAGTTCAAGCCCAGCTATGGTGTGTGCCGGTAAAACTTCTTTTATTGCCCGGTTTTTCTCACAAGCAGATAGGTTTCGGAGATAGAGTGAAACCAAAAACACCACACACCTCCTACAAACGTACGCTACCGTTCCCGGTGGATGTTTGCTGTCAACTGCTGCAAGATAATAGCACAGACTTTGGATTGCAGTAGAAACTGCCCCTTAGTGGGTAGTTCTTTGATTTAGAGTCTCTTAGGAACAGAGCTATTACTGTGAATTGAAATTGGTCAGTCCAGTTGAAATCCTTGATGAGGAAACGACCAGATGAAGACTACATTTGGTTTTAGCAACATTCCAGCCTTACCCAAATCAGTCCTATGGTTGGTCTCCCAACACATCGGATCATTTATAGTGATAGGTAATGAAAAACATTCGGTTGAAAACTTTGAATAAAAACCTCCCCTGAGGATTGAATCTGCCATGAAACGTAAAAAAATAGTGTCTAAGATCTACTTCTAAGAAATATATTTTTATTTGCTATCTTTTCCCCCAAAATATGGATGACACCTTTTAATCACCTTTTAATTAAGTATAATAATATAATGTTCATGGCTACATATGAGCGTACGTTTACCCATTTCACAGGTACAGCAACGTCAACAGCCCTCAGAGAAGAGAATTAAAAAGTATACGATAATAGTTTTCACAACTTGTGTTCTAAAGGTCATCAGTATTCAAGATATCAAGACACAGACTGAGAAAACTCAATCTAGGGATTCATGTCCAAATGTTTAATGATGAGAACAAATAGGAATCATGTCTTTCTGTGCCTGGGAGCCTTGTATGGGGGAACATGGTGAAGTGATAGCATTACATTTCACCTATGCTTAACTTTCAAAGGAGAGCTAAATGAACAGACTTAGTTTTGGGTTAAATTCTATAAAAATAGCCACCAAGGAGGTGATCCTGTTGCAAAAGAATATAAGGCAGAGAGAGATTCTCTCCAATTTAATTCCCTTCAGAGCTTTGCACTTTAAAAAAGAAAAAAAAAAAATTAGAATTAGCGCAGTGAGAAGACCTGCAGCGAGAAAACAATTTCTTGTCAGTTTCTCTTAGGGCAGCTTGTAGAAGAGCAAGGTGCCGGATACCTGAGGGGTACCTGCCTGCTGTGCCCTGTTGCCTTCATCAGAGCACTGTGTGTGACAGAGCCTTGTCACACTTGAGTGTCACACAGAATTTATACCTGTGTTCTTATTTTTTCCTATATTAATAACCTTTTAAAGGCAAAATCCTATGAAAGATTAGCATTCTAAGTCCACTGGTGTGCATACATCAGCTGTTATTAATTCATCACCTTTGAGAACCACATAACAGAGAAAAAATTCCTATCTTTCAAGATTGCCCCTTAGCTTTTATCTATTTATGTATCCTTATTTTCCCAGCTCACTTGCTAGCAATATCAAATACTTTGTTAATTTCTCAGATGCATTATTCCAAAGTTTTGCAAAGCCTCTGCACAGACTTTTTCTTTAAATCCCCCCCCCGGGTGGCAGGCACCTGTCATGCATCTTTCAGAATATAGCTAGGCTGTCTCCCCAGACACTTCCTTACTTTCTCTTTCAGCTATATCTGAACCCGATGTCTATATTCTGTCCACTGCACCAACCATATTGCATTTGTCTCTGCCCACAGGCTCCAGAGTTTTATTGACTCCTGAATGTACTTTGTCCAGGGTCTCTGACTTTGCATTCAGTCATTATCCTGTTAACCTCAAATGTCACTGTTTTCTTCTTAGTTACTGTAAATACAGACTTGATCTTGAAACAGAAATCCTATTATATGTTATACTACCTTTTATCAGAGAAACTCAAGATATGAAAACAGCAATGAGGCTCTGATTTCCCCGATACTGAAAATACAGGTTCAGGAACACAATTTGATGAAAGTTCTAAATGTCCTATATCAGAATTTTTTGAGGAAAAAAAATTTACAACATGTAAATTTTGGACAAAAAAGGGGCTTGAAAACTTTAGTAGCTAGAAGAGGCAGTTTTTCTATTTACAGGTATTATGAAGTTTGCCAGGGAAAATAAGCATACTAAGTACTGCTATTAGAAATTTATTCTAAAATCAGACCATTTAAAATTAATTTGGAATTGCTGATAACTGCTGATTCTAACAAAGATATTTACGGGGTTGTTCTTCATACTGAAACTAGAAAAAAGTAGAGCTCATGAATTGGAAAGAGATCAAATAATTGACACAAAAAATCTATGATCGCAGAGTTTCTTTTAATTTTCCTAAATAAGCCTAAAAGGTTACTGGTAATCAGTAGTTACATTATGCCTCCCTAGAACGTGGGTTCCTGGGTGAGGGAGAGAATATTCTGTGAGTACCTCTCTTGATAGAGACACACTTTTGGCTATAGACACTTTTCACATTTTTTCTATGCCAGATGGCATGGTAATTACTTTTTTAAGTAGGCCTAAATGTTTATAGCCATTTTATGGAAAAGTTGCCACAAAGCTGCAATCAAAAGTAAGAATGGATTAGGAATTTTACTAAGAAGAAATAATATAAAATCCTCTGTCTCCAAGATAACCATTTGGCAGCAAAAATTGTAATCAGTATTATATGAATATTTGTGGATAAATTAACAAAGATTAGGAAGTTTAAAATATCTAAATGTTTGGAATTAGAAATCAAAATATTTAGGAAATCCCTTACATTCAGATTTGTAGGCTTTTTCACATTGTATTCCAGCACTAATTTTATAATAAAAATAAGATAAATGGCAATTCTTAATTATCAAGCTGTCTGTCCTTTTAAGGCTGACTGTGGCCACCTTCCAGCTGATTTTAAGGTATAGCATGCTAATTAAATAATAGCATAAGAGGACATTTGTTCTATTTATCTTAAAGACTAATCATGTTTAATCAGTTATTTTAAATTATATATAGCATTTAGATTTCAGGAAACACGATTCCATAGTAGTTCTGCATCATTTTTATTATTTTATATTTTAAGTAAGTTATATATCAAAGGTCTAAATTATTTATAACTATATTTGATATTCAAACAAAATGAGTGTGTGCTTTTTGCATTTTGTAATAAAGTGTTATACTATTTGATTATATTAGATACTTTTTTAAAAGTTCCTCAAATTAATGATTTAATTATGGATATGTCTATTAAGTTCTAAACTCTCACTGCAAAAAATTATATGGTGATTTTTAAAAATCTCTACATCATTACTGAAAAAGTTGAGACTTAAACTTCTAGCCATAAGGAAACACCTTTGTAACTATTAAGTTCTAAATACTGACGACTATGAACTCTTATTCATCTTCAGCTAAATTAAGATAATCTTATTTGAATAAGTGACAGAGAATCAACAAGGATAAGTTTCTTTGTCTGTTTTTTAAGTTTTAGCAGATAACATAGCCGTATAGAACTGCACTATACTTTATTGTCCCCTTGTTTTCAAAACAGAAATATGTGTTTTACCAACTAGCAATTTTAGCCAAAAGACGGTGGTTTCCTCTTCCCCATACAGGTCAGATATGAATAAATCCAGCATTGATTCTGCACCTTTAAAAAGCATTATTCGAAGGGGGAAAAAAAGCTTGCATATTTCCTGAATCTAGCCAGAGATCTTTCAAAGAAAATTTTCCCACCTTAAAAAAAAATCTAGCAATATTCTCATTATATTTGCTAATTTATTTTTATGTCCATGTTATAATTTAAGGGCAATTTATTTTTAATGAAGTATACTATTTAACAATTTCAGTGATTTTTAAAATCTGTACTGTTGTGTACTTTAAAATTTTTTTATTTTATTTAACGTAGACATTGAATCTTCTAGCTTTCTTTGAGATGTCTTCTCAGTAGTCGGTATAAAGTGCACATCAAAACTACTTTCTTATAATTAATCAGACCCTCTGCTTTAAGTAGGAGATTTGGTGTAATCAATGTAACAATAATTCTTCTTTTTAGATTCTTTTTCCTAATAATTTTTTTTTCAGGGATAGCTGAATGTGAGGAATGGCATAAAACTCAGAGGCTCTAAACCCCTTGATGTTCTATCCAGAACAGCACCCTTTAGGGACTAATGTGGCTCTAAGGATAGGCCATAAGGAATCCAAAAAACTATGGCAAAAATAAGCTTGTAACCAAGTTCTGAAGCTCATGTAAAACTTCCCTATGAGTAAAGGCAGGGAATGGCATGAAGAATGGTGTTTTTTTAAATGCACAGAAATAACATATGCAAATGAGACATTCTACGGAATTATTA